TTTTTTTTTTTTGTTAGATAAATTAAAAAATTTCTATGAAAATATGTAGGTGTATTGCCCAAGTTATTTTTTTTTTCGTATAAAGATTTATATGTATTAATTAGTTTTTTTTTTGTTATTTGTTAACTTATTGAACAGAAAAATCTTTATTGGAGGTTTAGCGAAAGAGACGACTCTAGGTTAGATTTTTAAGCTGTTTCATACTTGTTTTTATGTATTACTAATTGTTTCTTGCTAGTGGATTTTTTATTTACTGAAGGGGTGGCGTTAAAAATTGGATTTTGATTTTGGTAGAACAATTTGTCAAGTACTTTGAGAAGTATGGGGAGATAATAGACTCGGTGATTATGAAGGATAGGCATACTGGTAGACCCAGAGGTTTTGGGTTCATCACTTATGAAGATCCATCCGTTGTAGACACTGTTATAGCCGAAAACCATATTATCAATGACAAACAAGTGAGTAGTTTAGCCTCACTTTTCTACTGCTGTATGTCGCTCTTGCATGATGTTCAATTGTAGTCGAAATTAGTTGAAAGATTAGGAAACTATGGTCAACTTGTTGACCACTTGCCATATGCACAAATACTTTAGTTATTCATATGCTTATGAGATCATGAGCTGGGTTGATGGGTTTCATTTATGAGTTCAAGTTCTATGTATTGATGGTGTAAAAGATATTTATGAATCATGTCAGTTACAAGGTTAACTCTATTAAATTGCAATCATTGATAACCTGGAATAAATGATAAGTGACCTATTATAACATATAAAATCACACTGATGGTGTAAAAATATCATTACACTGTCAGCATATATATATNTGAAGCTTCTACTGATAATCATATTTTTTATAAGTACATGAAAGATCGCGTCTTGTGAATGTATTGGTATTTGCCAGGTTGAGATTAAAAGAACCATTCCGAAAGGATCTGCTGAATCAAAAGATTTTAAAACAAAGAAGATTTTTGTTGGTGGCATTCCCACTACCATGACTGAAGGTAACAGTGTGCTTTTTGCAATAACACTGTTATAAAGAAACAGTGCTTTTTTGTTACATCATTAATTTTGTTATTTGGCAATTGCAATAGTATTCTGTAAGCTTTGAAGTACTTTAACTGATGTCTCTTGTACATTGCTTGTCAGATGAATTCAAGAACTTTTTCTCCAAGTTTGGGAAAGTAACAGAGTACGAGATCATACGAGATCATGTGTCCAAGCGTTCTAGGGGTTTTGGATTTATTGTGTTTGACAACGAACAAGTAGTTGATAATTTGCTGGCTGAGGGAAATAGGACTGACATGATGGGTACTCAGGTAAGTTTTGTAGGATATTTTTCTCTGATGTCAAACGTTCTAGGACATGGCTGTCGTGCGTGCAAAGTGGATCTACAAGTTGCGCTTTCGTACCATTTCCCAGCCCAAATTTTCTTCTTTTAACCTATACCTCTCTGCCTTTAGGAGTTTCCTGCACGTGTGACAGTTTAATTTAAGGAATATAAGTTTGTAGGTTTTCCAATGTGGTATGCATCTTATAGTGCTCAGCTGTCAGACTATTATGCAGGTGGAACTTCTAGGTTAACTTGCTTCTTTATTGTAGGTTGAGATCAAGAAGGCAGAACCAAAGAAACCCTCAAACCCAGCATCTGCTCCTGCATATGGTAGTGACTCTAGGGGGCGTGGATATGGTGATAGTTATGGAGGATTTGGCAATTCATATAGCGGTTTTGGCAGTGGCAGTTTTGGCCCTGCTTCTTATAGGTCGTTTGGAGCTAGGTTTGGTGAATATGGATACGGTGGTGGTGAATTTGGTGGTAGATATGGAGACTTTGGTGGTAGTGATTTTGGTGGTTACCGTGGGGACCCATCACTTGGTTATTCTAGTCGGTTTGGCTCTTACGCTGGTGGGTTTGGTGGGGGATATGGTGGCAGTGGACTAGGTTCATATGGCCATGGAGGTGGTTATGGAGGTTATGGTGGAGTTGGCCCTGATGCTAGTTATGAATCTGGTGCTGGTTATGGTGGACCAGGAGGTTTATATGGAAGTAGGGCAGGCTATAGTGGCAGTGGCCGTTACCATCCTTACTCCAGGTAGATTTTCCTAAGCGTTGTAGGAGTTGCATTCAGGTCTCTTGGTTATCGCATCCTCAGCTCAGGGTTGAGTAGATATTTGGAGCACTAGCAAGCAGACACCACCTAGAAGATTTGAAGAGACCTAGTTTGCCACTTCTTATTAATACTGTGTGACCGGAGAACCATATCTAGATAAATATAATATAATTTGTGCTTTATCTTAGTTTAGACATTTTCTCTTTTTATGAACTATGAATTAGCTAGAACCTTCTTTGGAGTTATTCATGTGTCTTGTGAGTTTGGTTTCATAGATACATGTGATGCAGGCAGTCTCTTATTGTTCTCTATTTAGTAAGTACTCTCCTCATAAGGAATCACTCTATGATAGATTCATGTGTCTTGTGAGTTTGGTTTCATAGATACACGTGTTGCTTCTCTATTTAGTAATGCACCTCATCAGGCACCACTCTATGATAGATTAATGATATTTTTATATTTAGAGATCTATGGTTCTTGGTGTCTAGTTGTCGGTTTGATTGGTGTAGTTGGCTTAGCTTGGTCACACTCAATCATAGTTGGTGGATATTTTAAGTTATTTTCCTTCGTGCCACCTAAGTTTTTTAGAAATGTGTGTTGTGCCACGTATCTGAGAATTTGATGAAGCCATTTACATTTTTAAGGCTTAAATTGGAGAATGTTAGTCTGCTCCAGTCTTTGTTTTAGTTTTTGACAGGATCTGTGTGTCTTGTTTCAACCATTCATAGTTAAGGTGCTCACAGCCTTGTC